CCACAGAGCCCCCGTCCCACAGCACTGAGTGACCACAGAGCCCCCGTCCCACAGCCCAGGACCCTCACAGCAGTGGGGTGATGGGTCCACAGAGCAGCCCGGTCCCCAGCCCGCGGTACTGCTGGGTCTTCTTGAGCACTGCAGAGGAAGTCGCATGGTGTCTCTAGGGAGCTGTGAGGGTCACTCTGTGAGGGCCGTGTCCCAGGCCGTGTGGGGATGCAAGTGGCTGCACATCCAACCCCTCAGCCGAGACTCGGGCTCGTGGTGCTCTGGGAAGGGGAGGCCACGGCTCCAGGTTATTGCTGGGCCCGTGACCCATGCAGTGTTAGAGTAGGGTCAGAGTTTGGCTCTGCGAGGCAGGAGCTGGACACCTGTCCCGAGAGACCTGACTGCTCCATCGGGGACACCAGGGAGGCCCCTGGCAGCGTCTCCTGGACCTGGGACGGCAGAGGCAAAGACACGGACCGCGGCATGCAGTGTGAGGCCTTGTGTGCACAGGGACCGGAGAAAGGGGGGTGCCTTCCGGCCAGCAGGACTTCAGAATGCCCACACAGTGAGCACTGGGGGCCAGGTGTGCTGTGCACACCAGGGCTGGAGCTCACACGGGGGCTTTGTGACTGACGGCCCAGTCCCGCACACTCCTGAGAGCACGCGTCCGGAGGACAGCACTGACTTGCTCTGGTCGGCAGCTAAGGTTAACACACGGACACCGGGGCCAAAGAGCAACATCAGGAATAGGGAGGAACCCAAAACTAACCACGAGTGTCAGAATGTGGTCTGCACATCCACCACCAGGCACGGGACACGTGGGTGGGGGCGACACTGGGCAGAAACAAGACCCTGCCAGCGCTGGTCACGTGTCAGAAGCACCCTGGGGGAGCTCCTGGCCTGGCTGGTAGAGGGGCTCTGACAGGAGCTTGTTTCCAAGGACCCCCTGCCGGGGCGGGGGCCTGGCCTGGAGAAGTAGGCCCCACAGCAGAGGCGGGGACAGTCCTGGCTCCCACAGCTGTGCAGAAGCCCCATGACAGGTTGCACAGCTAGACAGACTTGCTCTGCTTCCTCCTCCCTCTGGCCACGTTCTCGGTAAGAATGGCTTCAGCACAGAGCTGGGCCAGAGAACTCCAGAGGGATCTTCCCTTCCTCGGTCTTCAGTGCGGCCCTGCCCAGCACTGCACGTCTGCCGGCGACAGGTGCCCGGACCCCAGAGGAAGGGGAGTGTGAGGCGGCGGATCTTACAGGTTCCCACAGAGGACATGGCAGGACACAGGCCCCAAGAAGTGGGTCTGAGCTCTGACAAACCACAGTCAGGCACTGACTGAGAAACCTAGGCCAGATGGACAGACATGCCCATCTGCAACATGCCACTGGCCTGAGAACAGAGCCTGAGGCTGGTGCTCAGGTGAGGGAGACCAGCTGGCCAAGAGCCACCAAATCCAGAAGCGCAGGAGCCAGGCCTGGGGCGGGGCGGGGTGGGGCAGGAGGTGTCTGCAGAGGAGCCCAGGCTGCCCTGCGGAGAAGCTGAGTGTGCGGGCGGACCCTCTAACCTCAGGCAGGAGAACTCCGCTCAAGGCCAGCCCGGGCAGCGTGTCTCAGAAAAGGAAAAATACAGGATATTGTGTTTTATCGCGACTCAAAAGGGGTGCCACTAGGACCGGGTCCCAGCTGTTAGGGAGCTGGCGGGGCCCCAGGCCTCCTGCCCTTCCCACAGGCCCCCAGCGAGCCGCGGGTCTGCGGCAGGAGACCTCCAAACAGCTGTGTAAATGGAGCGTGGGCGGCGGCGAGCACGTGAGCATCCATCCTCCCAGAGGAAGGAGCGGCAACCCAACGGCTGTGGGGAGGGGCTGGAGGATGGGGTACAGTGGAGGGAGTGGGGGGAGAGGCAGGGACGGGGCAGAATGGCGGCTGTGGGGAGGGAGTGGAGGCTGCATCCCTAGATGGGTGCGGCAGAGTTGTGCACACTCTGAACTCTGGGAGGGCAAAGGCCGCCCCGGGCCCAGACACGCCCGCTGTGGGGACAGGATGCCTGGCAGACTCTGGGCATCACCACCTTGCCCCACACAGTGTGGGCTGAGGACGCCAGGGGTGGTGGGCCTTGGGGCCACCCCGCTGACCCCCCACATCGTCGTGGATGTCCCTGCCACCCAGCGGCCTCCTTGTAGGGGCCGTGGGCTGCTCACGTCGGCCCTGGCACACCCGGGACTTGCTGAGTGAACTGCACACAAGTCTGCGTAAGCTTCCTAGCACACAGGACCCCAGCCCCCAACACCAGTTTTGTGTACTAGGACACCCTGCCTCTCGGTTCTGGTCCAGCAGTGTCTGCCCATCTGCAGAAGCAAGGAACGGGGCGGTGGGTGAGTTCACAGCCCCAGCACTGGTCTGGAGGCCAAGAGGACGGGCCTGTGGGAGAGCCCTTGCTGCTCCCTGAGCCGTGTGTCCAGCAGTGCCCAGGCTTTGCAGTGGACACCGGGAGAGGCAGGTGAGGCCCACTGGCCAGGCTGGAGCCTCGCGCTGGCAGTGCCCCACACGGACGGTCCCTAGAACCGATGGGCGCATGCGTGGGAGGTGTGCACTCGACGCGGGAAGCCAGCCGGTGCAGTCCCAGCTCCGTGATGTTTACAAGGCAGGGCTTGCCTCTGACGCCGTCCCGGCCCAGTACACCCACTCCGCTGGCTCACCGTGACCCTGGCATGGGGCGGGGCGCGGGAACTCTGGTCTGCACATCTCTGAGCTCCAGGGTCACAGGCTGCAAAACAGCCCGGGGCAGCGCAGCCGGGGCAAGGCCACGGAGCTTTTCTTTCCCTGCCAGATGTGCCCATGGAGGCGGTGCTCCACTGAGGAAGGGGGTGAACTGGAGGCCAGGCCTCAGAGCCCGTTTTAAAGTTGTATCCACCGTCGGATACATGCAGAAACCGCCGGAAAGCACAGATGCTCCGGAGAGCGCTGCCAGGCCCGTGTTCTCCCCAGCTGCTGCAGGCTCTGTGCAGAGGGGCATGGGGCCGCCTCCCCCACCGGCAGCCATGCCAGATCCCACACTAAACCCCGTGAGGTCACCCCGGCAATGGCAGAGCGTCCACACCCCAAGGGAGCGCGTTCCAGGGGGACTCAGCCCAGGGAGAAGAGTGCAGAAAGCCAGCCCAGCAGAGAAGCGAGAAACCCCGGCACACGCGGCGGCGCCAACAGATGGGCGACCCTGGGGTCGGGGCAGAGCCCTCCGAGAACCTGCCAGCCCTGGGGCGGGGAGGCGGGGCCTGCCACCCCTCCAGGGACAGGGCCACCCGTTCTGGCTGTTCTATGAGCTTGTCAAGCACAAGGGGACTGTGTGCCTGGCCAGGCCAGCGCGGAGTCCGGCGGGGGGCGGGGGAGGGCTGCCGGGAAGCCCCGGGCGGCTTCGGGGGCCATGGACGTGGCCTACCTGGAACAGGATCTGCAGCACCCCGTGCAGGAGGCACGGCCGGCGCCCGAGGAACACCAGGAAGGGCACCAGCAGCTCCACGACATGGTTGCCGAGCGTCTCGAAGCGGTGGAGCCACCAGGGCGACCGGTGCAGGTAGTAGGCCAGCGGGTTGGGCACGGGCTGCGTCTGCAGGGAGAGAGGCGCCGTGAGCCCTGGGCCGACCCCAGAGGGTTCTGTGGGAAGCAGTTTGAAGCAAAGCTAGTTCTTTGTTTTAAAACCACCTCCATCCACCCTGGAGTTGGAGCGTACCTCTAAACCGAGTGTGCTCGAACTAGGGGTGAGGGACCCAGAGAGTGCCATCTGCTCCCCGGGAGGAGCAGTGGGCAGCGTCTCGGCCCAGCCACCGCACCTGCGGCCCCATCAGGCCCAGCGGGGCCCTCCTGAGGGGGTTCCAGGGGCCTTGAATAAACAGAGATAAACTAAGGCAAGTGTCAGCTGTCTGTGACAGGGAGGAAGGGTGGGTGGGGACGAGGGTCTGTCTCAGGTCCCCTCACACACGGCTCAGCAGGCGCATGCTGCCAGGGGCCGGGCCCTCCAGGCCTCAGACTCCCTGTGGGCAGTTCCTGCCCTGGCCATGGCACACCTCCTTCCCATCGGTCCTGGCAGGATAAACCACTAGCTGGCGGCCCAGAGCCCAGCTTTCTACTCCCCGTGCTGTGCCCCGGGCAGCGATGGCCATCTAGGACGACAGGCAGAGGCCGTCCATGGCCTCCTCACATCACCCTTCCCTGATGGCAGACTCCAGACAGCCAGAGCCACACGTGGCGCCACGGGCCTGGCTGCTATGCGTGTCTGAAGTACTATCACTTGAAGGGATTGGGGTAAAGACAAACGCACTGTACTATGTGTGCATAACCCTAAAATGGCCACAGAAATTCAATAATTATAGCTAATAAGCCAAGATGTCATGAAAATATTAAGTCCATCCAAAACAAAGCAGAAAAGGTGTTTTTTAAAGGCAAAAAAAAAAAAAAAAACCAGATGGGGAAAGTAGAAAAGAAGCAGAGAGGGGCTGGGAAGGCAGCTCAGTGGTGGAGCGCTCGCCTGGCAAGCGTGAGGCCCTGCGTTCCATTCCTCAGCGCCACACAAGCAGAAAAGACTAGAAGTGGCGCTGTGGCTCAAGTGGTAGAGCACTGGCCTTGAGCTGAAGAGCTGAGGGACAGCACCCAGACCCAGAGTTCAGGCCCCACCGCTGACCAAAAGAAAAACAAAGCAGTGAGGGCCACACACCTACATCAAGGTGTGCCTGTGTCGTTCGAGTTTGAGGCACACGATGTCAACGCTGGATGAAAAAGGACTCAGCCTCGTGCTGCCTACGGCAGGGCGCTTCGGAGGCAGCAGCACTGGCAGCCAAGGCCGGGGGCAGGGAGCCGCTGGGCGGGCCCTCCTGGCAGAGCGGGTTCCGGGGAGCCTGGCATGTGGGAGGGATGTGCAGGAGCGGAAGCCCCTGCCAGCAAGGGCCGCCCCGGGGCCTCTGCAGGCGCTCGGGTAGCCAGGACTGGCAGGCCCTGGTCAGGTTCCGAGACATGGGCTGTCCACCTTCAGCCCTCGGGGTGCCAGGTGCAGCTGCAGAAGGGGGCTCTGGTGTTGGGGGGACAGGCGGCGGGGCTCCCCCACCCTGCCCGGGACGGCTCCCTGCCCCTTGTGGACCAGGCCTGGCCCAGGGGAGCAGCCTCTGGGTCTGTCTGCAGGAGCTGAGACCCAGCCAGGCCTGGGTTGGGGAGAGGAAGGGGAGACGAACAGGGTGTGCCGGGGTGGCAGGTCACACCGGCGTGGGAGACAGCCCCACCGCTGGACGGGACGAGGAAAACCAAAGCTACCGCTGGATTCACAATCCATGTGGCCCAGCCAGCAAGGGGGTGCGGGGGGACACTGTGCAGGTCAGTTCATGACCTGAGGTCCACCGAGGGAAGGGGGAGGCGCAGAAGTCCACAGGGCTGGCGCGGCCACTGTCTGAGCTCACCTCATAGTGGAAGTCCATGCAGGTGAGGTCCCACCAGCACCGATCTCCCCGGACCTTGATGAGGCCCTGCAGAGGGGAAGAGTAGACAGCAGAGTGAGGCCACACACGGCCAGCCACGGAGGTCGGAGCTGTGAGGACGGACACGGAGGCCGGAGCCGTAAGGCTCTGCTCTGTCCTCTGTACCACCCTGAGCCTCGTCGGATGAGCAGGAGTTCACAGTTCACTTGGGGGGGCCAGCGAGGCTCTGCTCTCTGACTCTGTGGTGCTGGGGTGCGCACCAGGGCTTCATGCAGCCTCTCCCTCAGCTTGCTTGCTCTACCTCATGAACCATGCCTCCAGTTGGCATTTTGCTGGTTAACTGAAGATAAAGACTCGGGACTTCTCTGCCTAGGCTGGCTTTGAACCGAAACCACTCAGATCTCAAGCCCCGAGCAGGTAGGATTACAGGTGTGAGCCACCAGTGCCAGAATTCCTTGCTTTCTTTAATGCTGGGGTGGGTGGGCCGGTGGGAGGGGGAGAGCTGACAGTGGCGAGCAGCGAGCGCTGCTGATGCTGCTTCAGACGGGGGAGTTGGGTGTGCGCCCACGTGGGAGCGTCACCGTGCCCCCCCCCCGTGCAGCCAGCGTGGGACAGTAAACCGAGGCCTGCCTGGCATCCCTCACAAGGCGGTGGGGTCTCATGTGCGCGCCCGGGGTGCAGCGACGCGGCTGCGGGCGCGCTCCGGCTGGGGACAGGGGGCCCCGCATAACCACCCTGTGGGGTGACTGGCGGTGGGAGGAAGCACAGGCTCGCGCTGGTGGCGTCTCCAACCACGGAGCCACTGCGGCCCCGAGGCTGGTGGTCAGGGTGTGCAGCCAGACCGACGCAGGCTGTGGAGCAGGTTTCTGCCCAGCAGTTGTGCTGGCCACCACGCGATGTCCAGAGGGCCAGCACGCCCCCACTCCCTTCCTTTTGTACATGCTCCCAGAACCTCACCTGGAGACCCAGCCCACGTCAGTCTCTGCGCCTTCCATACTAGGCAAGCTGGAAGGAGAGGAACAGCCTTGCAGAATTCGCTGAGGCTCTACCAGACGGCGAGCACCCCTCTTACCACAGCCAGACGGCGAGCACCCCTCTTACCACAGCCCCATCTCTATCCCCACGTCTACCCATCCACCTTCCATTTAATCATTCTGTCATCCATCTGTCCACCTGCCATCTGCTCATCATCCATCTATCATCCCCCATCTACCCACACATCCATCCACTCATCATCCCCCATCCATCCACCCACCCACCCACCCTCACCTATCCATCCACCTACTCATCACCCCCCACCCATCCACCTTCCATCTACATCATCCCCCATCTATCCACCTTCCTTCCATCCATCCATCTACTCATCACCCCCCACCCATCCATCCACCCATCCATCCATCCATCCACTCATCACCCCGACCCATCCATCAACTCATCATCCCTCACCCATCCATCCATCCATCCACTCATCACCCCCCCATCCATCTTCCATCCACCCATCCATCCATCCACTCATCACCCCGACCCATCCATCAACTCATCATCCCTCACCCATCCATCCATCCATCCACTCATCACCCCCCCCATCCATCTCCCATCCACTCATCACCCCCCACCCATCCATCCATCCATCCATCCACTCATCACCCCCCACCCATCCACCTTCCATCTACTCGTCACCGTCATCCAGCCAGCGTCCACCCGTCTTCTACTACTCAGCCATCCCCAGCATCGTGTGTCCATCCATCATCCACTCGCCATCTGTCCTTCTCTCAGGTCTGAGCCTGGGGGATGCCTGAGTCCAGGCTGACACAGTGAGGCTCAAAAGGAAGCTGGGGTGGCTGAGGGCCCTGGCTGGGCCAGGCAGTGTGTGAGTGACCAGTCTGTGCATGAGTAAGCAGCGGTGTCTGCAGCTGCCCAGTAAGTCAGCCTGCACAGGGCAGGGCAGTATGCAACTGGACTGGCCAGGGGGCGGAGCGGGGCCTGGCCGTACGGAGTGCCGCCCCCCAATGTAATGCAGACACAGTCACGTGGGCCGCACCTGAGGGCCAGCTGTCTGTGAGGGCCACGTGTGGTGCGGGGCGCTGAGCAGGGCTCCTGTCCCGGAGCTGTGCTATTAATAAGGCCTTGCTGCACGAGTTGCTCTGACAACCAGCCACCTCCTAGAACACAGAGAGCTCGGATCACCAAGCCCCGGAATCGGCGGCGGGCGGCAGCCCCTGCCTAGCATGTGTGGGGCTCGTGAACACGGGGTCTGGACACGTCAGGGAGGCTGGCTGCCACGACAGGAGAGCACCCCTCCTGTCCCAGGTGGCAGAACGGCCGGCTTCTGAGGAAACGCACGCACGGGCCCGACGCTCAGCGCCACCCTGCCCGGTGCCCCGGAACCTGCACGCACCCGCGTCCCTCAGAGAAAACGGATGACCAAAACGTCAAAGCCAGGCTGATGAGAGGGTGCTAAGAGCCGGGCGTCTGGGGGCGGAGGGCACGTGCTCCCGCTGCTCCACAGGGTCTCCCCCGGAGCAGTGTGAGAGGAACAAAGGCTTCTTTGAGCCCTTTCAACCCAAAATTAATTTCGAAAAAAATGGCCGAGATGGGTCCTGACGTGCCAGATGCGCAGGGAGCGCTGACCTTCCACCGGCCACTTGGACAGAGTCAGTGGGGTGCAGGCCCTCCCAGGCCCCAGACCTCAGGCACCAAGAGAAAGTGGTCCTGATGACCGGGGGCCGTGCGGCGCGGCCAAGAG